GTACCATAGACTTGCTCGGATTTCAGCTACTCGGAGGAGACTTGAGGTATAACTGCACAACGTCCGCAGTTTTGAAGTCCTCGTCTACTTTACCTTTACTGTGTGTTTATTTCCAGACAGCTTTATTTTATTCAGGCCCTTATTTGTATTATTCTAGAAGCTCGTGCACTTGTGACACCAAATTCTGGGATGGTATTTAGACACCGTTATTTTTATGGATTATTCACTATATTTCAAATTTTACTTCTGCATCGTTCTTTGTTATTAATAAATTTAAAAATTGTTTAAAAATTGGTTAATATTATTCTAACATTGGCTTGCCTAGCAAGTGAAATGTTAGGCGCCATCACGGTCCGAAGGTGGGAATTTCGGGTCGTGACAGTTGGTATCAGAGCACTAGGTTACATAGGTCTCACGAGTCACGAGCAAGCTTAGTAAAGTCTGAAGGATCGGTATGGAGACGTCTGTACTTATCTCTCAGAGGCTATGAAGTTTAGGAACAACATCACTTCTTTCTTATTCTATCGTGCATTTTATTCTATCATCGATGATTGAATCATTCTACTCTTATTCTCGCGCAAATGGTGAGAACACGCAATACCTTTACCGATGGACAGGGACCAGAGCCCCCGGTGACAACTATGGCCAGGGGTAGAGGTCAAGGTCGTGCTAGAGGCCGAGGCCGAAGTAGAGCTCAGTCCAGAGCTCGAGCAGCTGCACCTGTTATAGAACCTCAGGTGGATCTTCAGGAGGAAGTTCCAGTTCAGAATGTACCAGTTGGACCAGTTCAGGCCCCAGAAGGATTCATAGCCACTCTAGTACTTCAGGACACTCTAGTCCGTTTGGTAAGTCTTATAGAGGGCGTGGCCCAGAATGGTACATTTCCAGTGGAACCAGCCGTCTCACAGGTTGGGGGAGGAGCACAAACTCCCACTACTCCCGCTCCGGAGCAGGTGGCTCCCCAGAATCAGGCTCCAGCAGCCCCATCAGTTGGGGTAGTTCAGCTAGTTGTAGCAGCACAGACCGGTGATAGGCCCGCCATGTCTTTTGAAGCCTTCTTGAGACTGGATAAGTTTACTAAGCTCTTTCGAGTTCACTTTAGTAGTACACCTTCTGAGGACCCACATGATTATCTTGAACGCTGCCACGAGGTGCTGCGGAACATGGGTATAGTTGAGACCAATAGGGTTGATTTTGCTATATTTCAGATGACGGGTTCCGCCAAGAGATGGTGGAGAGATTATACATTGACCAGACCAGTCGGATCGCCTGTACTTACTTGGGAGCAGTTCTCTCAGCTATTTCTGGAGAAGTTCCTCCCTATCACACTGAGAGAGGAATTTTGCAAGCAATTTGAG